CGTTAGTGGTGGTGGGATAATTTGGAAGAGGATAGTGGTGATGTTTACATGCTACAATGAACATAATCAGGCATGTGTCAAATTGACAAGTGTTTTAGGTTTTTACCACACACGTGCATGCACACATACACGTACACAAGAGCTTAGTGCAGTATCTCGCATGCAGGAAGTACTCAGATTAACGGCAGGTGTCCTTGGGGAATAGCTAGGGTTTGGGATGCAAATGAGTGTCCACCTATTAGATGCTTGCATGAGGTTTGGAAGACAGAGGTGAGGCAAAAGTCATCCTGCCTCCTTTGGGTTCAGCCATGGGCACGTGACAGCACCGTTCCAGCAGCCACTTCCAACTTCCTAGGTGACAGAGGGGGTCCTAAAGGTAGCAGCAGCAGATGCTGCCCGGCCCCGGAGGGCAGTTGAGGCTGTGTCTGGCCCTCACAGCGCTCAGTGAGCCTTAGAGAGTTCTTCCCGATGGGCAGGTCTGTAGTGTTCTGGATGACTTCCGGAGGTCCATGTGACCTTTACTTCCTTCTCTCCTTCATGGCTCTGCAAGTGCCTGTATTCAATCCCTCTCTGCTTAGCACACCCTGCCGAGGACCCGGATGGATGGGTTCTTTCCATCTCGACGTAGAGTTTTCTAAGTTCCAGCTTGAAAAAGCTGGGGTAAGCTCTCTGACTGGCCCAGCCAACCTCACCCACTACAGCCAAAGGGACAGTCATCCGACTGTTCATGGCAGACCCTGTCCCCTGCTGCCCCCACAGGTGTGCGGATGGAGGTGAGCCGGGGAGGGATGTGCCTGAGAGAAGGAAAGACCACCTTAAGGGCAGACCCCGTGCCCTCAGTCATCTGAGACGGGAGCTGCCCACCAGCTCAGGGATAAGCCCAGGACAGTCCTCCCTGACTTAACCCTCGAGTCCACGGGGAGAAATAGAGAGCACATCTCAAGGGGCCCTGTTTTCTAGAAACATGTCTTTATTTCAAATTTAAAACCATATTACTTCATACAGCAAACTGTGCACTTTGATAGATCACAGTGTCTTAAAAAGGAAAATAATCGGATTTGTTTGGAAATTTATGTACATCAGCCTAGAATGATTGGCAAGTAACACAGTTACTATGAAACCCAAATTGTTACAAAATGTTTACAAAAAACTATATTCATAGAAAGTCTGCATGTGCACAAAGGGCATCCCCTGAATGGCCCAGAGACCAGTGGGTGGGAACCATGTTGAGCGGGGGTGGGGGTTGTCCAGGCACTCTGGTCTGGGGTTCAGCACAGGGCCGGAAACCAAAGTCCCCATCCCAGAGGCCCGGTCAGGGGGTCGGCCCCGCAGAGGTGGGCTGGGGGCTTGGAGCACAGTGGCAGGAGGACCCGCGGGAAGCTGGTTTCCGCAGAACCAGGACAGGACTTCCCTTCAGGGGTCGGGATTCGGAGTGGGCTCTGGCCAGGGTCCTGGCGGCAGAGCCGGGGTTAGGGTGCAGATGAGCCTGACACGGGGCTGAAGCAGGGACCGGGCCCCTGACCACACAGGAGTCCACCGCAAGCCCTCTTCCCTGCACTCTCCGTGAAAGGTAGGACCGACCGCTAAGCTGTAGGACTGGACTTGTGGAGACAGACTGACCTAGGTGAGGTATGGACAGAGGGACTCACAGGTGGCACCGGCTGTGACTACAATAGGAACCTTTTTGTTGCTCTTTCACCCTTGTCACTGTCCTGCTCAAACCTCTGGTCCCTCCCTGACAGCTGGGCTCTAGGCCCAAAGGGGCTAAGCGGGGGACAGGGTGGTCTGTAGGGAGCAAAGCCCTGGCTGGCATACTTGTGTTGGCACGTCTGTACCTGGAGGCCTCAGACTCTCCCTGTGATGGGGACACAAAGTGTGGCTTGAGGTCCTGTGACAGAAGGGCCAATCACTAGGGTGTCAAGACCGTACTTGGACTTGCAGGCAACGCCTCGGGGCCACGTCTCGTCAGGGTGATTGTGGGTTCAGCACCTGTGTCTGGGTGAGACTCTGAGCTAGGCTTCACACCTGGAATGAGAGGCCTCTCTAGTCAGGTATCACTGGTGGATGCTGAACCTACCTGGCGATGAGCAGGTCCAGCTATTGATTAACCGCCCTGGGACTCACTTAAAACCCACTACCATCAAGCTGATTCCGACTCATAGCAAGACTTTAAATCTTCACAGGGGCACACAGCCTCGTTTACCTCCTGCGGAGCAGCTGGTGGGTTCCAACCTTGGACCTTTCGGTTAGCGGTCCGACGAATAACCCCCGACACCACCAGTCCCTGGGACTAGAGACAGTACCATGAGGACATTCTTCCCAGACACAGGCCTGCGATGGCCATCCCTGCCCCTCCGCAGGAGAGTGCTGGCCATACAAGGCCACTCAACTTCCCTGGCCCCACACGGCTCAGCCTCTCCTGCAGGGTATGCAGCTCTGAAGTCTGCAGGGCCTGCCCCACCCCAGGGGGCCCTTTGCCGCCCCTGCCCCAGCCCCCTCCCTCCCAGACTGGCTGATGCAGCCCCATCTCTCATTGGTCCCCACCCATATGGCTGGGTTATGTACACTCTGTGTGCAGACGTGCAGGGCGGGGTGCGTATACACATGGGCTACAGGTCATATATACACTGTGCATATATATATACAATATATATATATACCTTTTTACATTCATATATATATTATACAGAACATGAACTTTCTACCAAAAACAGCTTTGTGACATGACGTTTGGCCCCAGGGCAAATCCAGGACTGCAATGAGGGCTTGATTAGAAACGGGCATCGGGGACAGAGGGCAGGGTCCATCTGCGACAAGCAGCTGGGCCGTTCCAGCTGTGCCTACCCGGCCCCGGGATTGTGCGCCCTGGCTATAGAGGTGGGTCCCTTTCTTACACCCACCCATCGTACTGGGTCCCTTCCAGATGTTAAGTGCACCCAGCTGCTCGTCCCAGTGCCTAACTCCAGATGTTTGTGGGGACAGCTGGGCATGGCTTGAGGAGGCAACGGCTTCATGCGAGTGCAGAAGCGAGGGCATGCCCCCAAACAGCACCCCTTGACACAGGTACGGGAGGAGAGCTTGCAACTCTGCTCTCCTCCAGCTGCAGGGGTTGGGGGAGCAACTTCCAACCACGTGGAGTCTTCGTCCGGTGCTGTGAGTCCCTTCCCCTCCTGCTGGCCAGAGCTGGCAGGTCCCAGTGCCCTGGGCATGGAGGGGGTGGGCTGTGCTCTTCCAGGTGAGGCAGAGTTGTGACCGTGAGGCGGGGAGGCCCTTCCAGCTCCCAGAGATCCGAGTCTAGCTCAAGGCATTGGCCCAGCAGAGACCCTCACCGAACAGGGCCACCTGGACAGTGACAAAGCCCCCAGGGTTCCTTTATCTGTCCACAGCAGAGAAGCCAGCAATGGGTCAAAAGGAGGGGGATGGGACGGTTCACTGTCCAAGAGTTCAGGGCTTTGGGAGGAGAGGTCCCCTACTCGTTGCCCCTAAATGTGGCCAGTGAAGCAGGCTGAGGTGGCCTTTGGGGGCTGGAGGCGGGTGGCAGTGGGGGTGCTCTTCTCAGGGGATGTGGGAACAGACACAGATAGGCAAGTCCTGTCACCAGCTCCATCCACACCACCTGCCCCCAAGCTCACACCCCTCCCGGCCACAGTCCCGTGTCTCCTTGTGCTCCCATGTGCATGCATGTGCAGGAACCTCAACACACATGCACACACACCGCCGCTGCAGTCGGTTTGGAGCAGGTCTCCGCTTTCCCCTCACTGATTAATTTCCTGCGTAGCACTTGGAGGGCACTGGGGTGGGAGTGGTCACCGCCACACTTTGGACAGCGCTGGTCAGCTTTTGAAGACAGACCCAGGACGTCGGTCAGGGGTTGGACGGGAGCCACACACGCAGACAGAAGCACTGTCTTTGCCCTTGTTAGCCCTGCCACTCCCATCACCATGTCTGTCCATGTGTGCCGGGATCAGGAGCCGGCCACAGCCACGTGGCGTTCTGCACAAAGCACCCTCTGGGGTGCGGCACGAGCACAGGCGTGGGAATGTGCTATCAAATTACATGCAGCCAGGTAAGACAGGGGCTAACAAGGGCAATCGACGGGAGCACGTTGGCGATGTCTTCGTTAGAATCTTGCTAGCTGGGAATTGTGTGTGTGTGTGTGTGTGTGGGGGTTTGTTTGTTTCCCTTCCACATAGGACATTTCAGCCAGAGCAAAGGTATTACCAGTCCTGGGCCCCTTTAGTACTCTTGCCCCACTTGACCAGCCGCGCTGTGCCTACACCTGCACCAGCACGACCGTGGCCTCCTCTACAGCAGAAGTGCCATTAGAACCCAAATCCTGCCGTGCTGACCATCCCACGCCCGCTGTGAGCTGGAACCTGCATGTATTTGTTTACGTGCGCATGGGCATGCTCACACATTTCAATTGTACCTGGCTTCCCAAGCGTGACAGGCCCGGGCCCATGCTGCCTACCCTCCACTGCAGCTCACTGCGGGCTCCCAGAAGCCCCGGCCTGCCCATACACAAGGGAGCCCTCCAGAACCTCATTTTTCTCCTTCCACCTATTTGGTACTGCTTCAGGTGTTAGCTAGTCCTCGACCCCTGCCGTTCTCTGGACCAAAAGGTACGCCTTCACGCAGGCATGCATACACACGTGCACTTCCCAGAACCCCAATGTGACATGGCTTCTCCTGTTTTTACATGTATGGGACTCTGCTAACTGCCCAAATTTGCCTCCTTGGTCTCCCAATTTACACACACACACACACACACACACACACCAAACCCCAAAGGAGTCTTCTGTTATTGCTTCCTGTGTACTATCTTATACATCCAACTCGCTCTTCACCCCAGCCCCGGAAGCTTGTGAATCACACCCCCGACACACACACACACCCTTCAACACCCAGAAACTCAAGAGACATGGCTTTTCCTATCATGACGCGTGCAGGGATGAGTTGCCCGCTCTCCCTCCCCGCCCCCGCCCGTCCCACATGTGCAGCCTGGCACTGCTGTGGAGGTTTTAGGAACCACTTGGTTGGGTCCTGCAGCAGGGGGTTTGGAGGAGGGACAAAATGGACCATGCAAGCCCACTGTGGCCTTCTGGACAGCCAGATCCCCCCCACCCCCCCGCCGCTGAGAAGGTTCTCTTGGTTTAAGGTAGCTCTTCCCGAACTAGGCTCCCTAAGAGAAACAGGAGAGGGATGGCAGGGAGCAGCTGGGCACCCCTGGGCCCCTGCCCAGAAGCGGCATCATTCATCCACTACTCAAAGGCAGCCCAATGGACTTGGCCATGGGAAGCTCCACTGACCCCATCACGTTCTCTTTAAGGACACTTGGTTCCCAACCCTTCGACATCTCCTTCTTGGTCCGGTGTCTTAAAATCACCTACTTCCAGAGCATTGCAGCTCAGTGGGTGTGGCACCACCGAGCACCTGGTCTACCCCCTCACCTGCTGCTACTCCACTGTCTTCTGTAAGCCCCACAGGTCCTGGTGGCTCTGCACAAGGGCTGCAGGTGTCTCTGTGTGGGGTCTTTGGTCAATTCCCAGGAGGCAGTTTTCCCTCCCCACCCTTGGAGCCTCCGCCCCTGAGAGCTAGCGTTCTCTCCTGGACATCATCTTCAGGTTTGGCAAGTCTAGGGGCCAGTAGTTCTTTGGGCCCCCTTTGGCTTCCTCGACCTTTCCCAGGGCTGGCTCAGCTGGCTCAAGTCGTAGGGCCCTGACCCCTATTCTGGGGTGGAGCTGGGGGACCTGGCTTCCACTTCAACCCAGACAAGCCTACTCTTGTTTTGCGGAGCTGGCTGAGGGAGGCCACTGTTAAGTGGCCAGGGATGGAGAGTTGCTGATGCGTAGACAGGAAAGAACCCAAGCCCCACAGGTGGGGCTGGGTCCCCAGGAAGGGAAGCTCCATTGGCCTCGGGCCTGTGCCCTTGCCTGGGACTCCAGAGCACCTCTGCTGGGCCGAGTCTCTGGGCACCTGCTGGGAGGGGTGTAGAGGGCCCGTCCCCCTCTGGCCGGAGAGTGGAGAGAAGCTGCCGCCACCCCGTACCACTTACTCCCCTAGAGACTTCCCAGAGGGATGGCAGCGGCTGAGATGTGGGGCATGAGCATTCACCATGGCAGCCTCTGCCAGTACCGTGTCCCCCTTGCCTGACCCCACGTCCTCTCCTCTCTTCTCCGGGGCACTGGCTCTGCCTCGGACTTGCCAGGGCAGGGGCTGCCACGGTGGGGGTGGGAACCAAGGCCCCATGGCCAGGATCCTGTGAGCGGCTCCTGAGAGCTGCAATCTTCCTTCTGCCCAGTCCTTCGGCTCACACGGACAGCTCTCACGTCTTTAGGTCACCCAGGGCTGTGTCTCTGGACTCGCCATTGGGCCCACGGGAGGAGGCCCCGGACCCGGAGAAGGGGAGGCAGCGTGAGTCCTCCCTTGTTTCCTGGGGCCCCTGCAGGGCGGTGGCAGCGAGTCCTGGCTTCAGAGGCGGGTTTGGCCTGAGAGGGGGCTGTGCTTCCTTTGGCCATGGCTGTCTCAGCGGGCAGCTTCAGCAATTCATAGATGAAATGAGAGGCGAATGCCGCCACAGCAGCAGGCCTGAGGCTGCTGGTGTCCAGGTGGGGGGGCACAGGGGCTCCCAGCCCAACAGGCAGGCAGCAGCTCTGGTCCCCAAGCCGAGGGTGGGGACAGGGCACGTCCCTCCCGGATCCTTTGCTTTCCCCGCCGCCCCTCGCCTGCCCTAGGCCTGAGGTCCCTGCCTGGCCTGGGCCTAGGGGAAGACCGGGGCCAGCGATGAGCTGCACGTCATGCTGTCCTTGCCCGGGAGCCGGCGGTCGTTGAACGTGTGCATGTTGATGACGGCGTCCGTCTTGACCATCAGCGGGGGCTGGGGCTTGTGCTTGACTCGGCGCTGGCAGGTGAGGGTGAAGCGGATCTCGTCGGCCACTGTGCTGCAGAAGGAACGCTGCGAGGGGTGGGGAGCACACAGGTGAGTCCTGGCCCTGCCTCTTCAGCCAGCTCCTCCTCTTCTTCCCACGTGTCTGCCCAGCACGGTCCCCAGCCCCCATTCTTCTCCTCCATCGCAGACTGCGTTTGGATAGGAGGTTGGGATCTCAGGTAGGCAGGGCAGTGTTCTCCCCATTCTCACAGATGAGCACGGGGAGGTCTCCGAGAGGAGAAGGGCCTTATCCAAGGTTAAGAGGCAGGGCCAGGAGGCCATCTGAGCTGTGAACCGAAGGACAGGAAGGCAAGGGCAGAGTGCTCTGGGGAAAGAACTTTCTAGGTGAGTAGAACGGGGCGTGTAAGGGCCCTGGGGCAGAAGCGCCCTTGGGAAGGAGGCTGTGGAGAGATGGGAGGAAGTCAGAGAGGTGGCTGGGGGCCTGCTGAGGTAGGGCCTTTTGTTTCAGGGTGGAAGGTGGCCAGTCAGTCCCCAGAGGTTGTGCCGGCCATTGTTTCACGAGTTCCTCCCTCCCTCAAGCTGGACATTTAAGCCCCCTCCCCTTTTGTCCGTGTTATAACGAGCACGTCAACAGGCACCCTTGCTTAGAAACCACATGCGCCCTGGACTCTTCCTCAAGGCAAGGTGCGGATCTAAAAGTAGGACCTTCAAAGCGAGGGGCCACTCTAAAAGACTCTGAACGCACCGGGAAATTGCCTTCCAGCAAAGCCCCCTTGGAGACACCGGTCGGGGGGCCTGGGCTGCCCGCCTCTCCTCGTCCTGTTGCTGAGGAGTGCCAAGCTGGAGCGCTGGCTTTGCCGGGCTCCTTCCTGACCTGGCCCACTGACTGGTCTGGAGGCATTGAGGTGCATTTCCATGGCCCAATAAGACGCACCTTTGTAACGGGATCTACTGGAACCTCCTTCCACCGTGAACTGGGCTCCCTTTGAACTCGCACCCCTCTGCACCAGCCTTTCCCGTGCTGGGCCCTTCCAGACCAATTAAAACCGAAACTCTGGGACAGAGGCCAGGGCATTAACACTTAAAAAAAAGCCTCACCCTGTGATTCTCATTTGCAGTCAGAGCCCAGAGCTGCTGCCCCCGCCACACTGAATTAATCAGACAGGCTGAGCCCAGTTCTACAGCCTGCAAGCTGGGGTCGGCCCTCTTAACTCTTTCGCTTTTTTAAACTTTTGATTATGGAAATTTTCAAATATATGCAAAAGCCGAGGGAACGGCATAATGAACCCCTCTGTCACCGCCACCCGGCTTCAACAATTACCCCGGAGGGCTTGGCGTGGGTGAGGGGCTGGCTGCCGTGATCAAAGGCCACGCACGGCTGCTGTGGAAGTGACAGGGGAGAGGCCCGTGGAGGCAGGATGGCTGGCTTGGCCAAGGGCAGAGCGGCAGCCGTGGGTGAGGCGGTCAGTCGGTGCCTGGCCCTGGCAGACTGGGTGCAGAGGGCGCTAGTGGGGGACAGGAGGAGACACCATGTGGTGGCTGGTTCCCGGGGCATCCAGGCAGACTCAGGTGGCCCACTCAGGGCGGCCTCCTGGTGTGCAGCAACACGGCTGCTCTACTCGTGGCCCTGCTCCTCAGGGGCCTGCAGCGGCAGCGTGGCACTTGGCTCACAGGTTGGAAGACCAATGCTTAACTCTTTGCACCACCAGGGACTCCTGCACGTGGCACATAAACCCCAAAGCCAAGGCCCGGCCCGGGGAGTTCATCTGACTCAGGGCCACCCCTCTGAAGGGTGGAGTGGAACCGCCCCACGGGGCATTCAGGCTGTACTTGCTTGCGGAAGCAGACACGGCCACATTGTGCGGCTGGTGAGTTTGAACTGCCCAACGTTGGGTTAGCCATTGGGAGCATTCGCCGGGGGTGGGGGGTGGGGGGGTGGTCTGGGAGGCAGGGGGCATGGGAGCAGTCCGAGTCCCGCCCTCCCGATCCCTTCCCTTTCCCAACTCCCGTACACTCGTGCTCTACCTGCTCCCGCTCGGCAGTTTTGCGGAGTTTGTACACAAACTCGCCCACGGCCACCAGCACCGACAGGACGAGCCCGGCGGCCAGGACGATGAAGATGCCCCCGATCTTCTGGACGCCCAGGGCGCTGGCCTCCTTGTTCTCCTCCTCGGGGCAGCCGCTGCCCCGCCACCACTTCTCCTTCATGATGTGCAGCTTGTCCTCCTCCTGCAGCTGGAGGATGGCGATGGTGATCTTGTCCCGGTACGGAGAGCCTGCACGGGGACAGGGGCAGGGCACAATGCCGTCAGCGGCACTGGCCCCATCGGTGCCTGCCAGCCTCATCGCCCAGCTCATAACTCCACAAAAAGGGGGCTAGACAGCCGGGAGGTCCCGCTTTCCATCTACACAGGGTCTCCAGGTGAAGAGCCCGTGCTGATTTGGGTGGTGGTGGGGTCTTGCCCCCCCCAGGACCCTGGAAGGGTCAGCACAGGCGGGCTGCATCAGCAGAGCTGGGGTGACGGTCAGCAGGCACGCTTTCTGAGAAGGGTCTCTCCCTCCCTCACTGGGTGTCCAGTTCCCATCTGCTTCATCGCAGGCTGACCCCACCAGGTCATTGACTCCATTGTGCCAGTGAGTGAGACTGCGTGGAAGGTGCACGGCCAGGCAGCTGGAGGTTGTGTATGCAGGCACGGATGTGGGGGACTCGCCCCCCTCCCTCCACCTCCCCCTGCCCCGCGCTCACCCATGGGCGTGCCAATGCCGTAGCCCTTGGAGTCGATGAGGCCCCCGATCTGGGTGAGGTTGCAGTTCCTCTGGGTGACGTACTCGATGGCCGTGGATTCCATGAGCAGGGCGTAGTCGGCCGTCAGGGCCCTCTGGATGCCCTCCTCGCTGTTCTTCACCAGCGCCGAGGGCCTGCTGCTCATGAAGGCCCACATCTTCTCGAAGGTGGAGATCTTGGACTTCTGGGCCGTGGAGGGAGGAGGCACTCACACACGGCTAACGGGCACCCTGTCCCCCACCCCACCCCCAGAGAGGGGGGAGGCCACCAACCTCCGTCCACGGCCCTCAAAGCAAGGCAGGGCACCGACCCCCTGCACAGATGTACAAAGGGCGTCTCCGGAGGACAGCCCCCTGCCCCACACAGCCTGGTAGACAAGGAAGCGGGGCTGCCTGTTCAGGTCCACCCAAGCGGGGTGGGCGGGCTCTCTGGTCATACAGGCATGGTTTTCAGACTAACAAAAAAAAGAATACTTTTTCCTTCACAATGCTTTCACTGTGCTCAGGCCTGGTGCCAAGTGCTTTATCTGTATCTGCTCCTTGATTCTTCACGGCTATCGCAGAAGCCCATGTTACAGACGGGCAAACAGAGGTCTGGCTAGGTAACTGGCTAGGGTTACCCAGGCCCTAGGAGGCAAAGCCAGGCTTCAACCCAACCTTGGGCTGCCTGGCTCAAGTCCTTGTTCCAACCAGGCACCATCTGCAGGGGTGAGAGGGAGCGGGGAGATTGAGGAGGGTATACTATGCAGGTTCAGCCCCCCTCCCCGACATCCATCACACAGCCCCTCTTGCATTTCAGCAGGCTTTTGGGGAGCACTGCTGTCTGGAGGAAGGATTTCTGTCCATGACACTGAGAAAGCAGGGTGGGAACTGTAGAGGGGAATGTTAGAGCAAGTGGGTTTCAAGCCCTTCCCCACGGTGGCCCAGAGCTTAGGGCCTGAGACTGGACCTGCTGCTTGGAGGACCCAGCACCCAAGACCAGGGTGATGCTGCTGTGCGTGGCTGGGAGATGAGACAGGGAGCTGGGGCCAGGGAAGCAGGGGGCTGGGGTTGACCCGAGGAGACTGGGTGGGGCCGGGTGTGTGGGGCTCAGGAGTATTCCTGGGAACTTCAGGCTTGCCTGTGGCCTGTACGCGGGAGTGGGACGGCTGCCCTGGGCCTCAGAGGGGCGGGTCTCTGCAGGCCCAGTGTCCTGGCTGTGCCTGCCTGTGATATCAGTCTGTCTGACCGACACTGGGACAGGCTCCAGTGTGTGTGACATTATGGATTTGTGCCAACAGGCTGGGGGCAGGGAGGCCGGGGAAAGCTCATTCCTCCCCCTCGCTGGGTACTCCTCAGTCCCGGAAAGGATGGCTGTTTGCGAAGCAGGGTCCTGGAGACCCCAGCACACCTGAGGGTCTGGCCAAGGCCACAGGGGCAGCAGACAAGCTCCCCACTTGGAATCCCAGCTTGTAATTAGCTGAAGAACCAGGAATGCCTTCGGTAGGCACCAGACCTGGGAGCCTTCTTGAATGAGCCACCAATCCCGCCTGGACATCTACCTGTGTGCCAAAGCCACAGGCTCATGACTGCTTGAAGCTTGCCGGTCTCGACAGGCTACTGTTCAGTCTTCTTGTGCTTCCGTTCTTCAGACACGCTCTTGGCTAGCAGCTCTTCCCCATAAGCCTTCGATGCTCCCTAGACTGACTAGCCGCTCAGCGAGTCCTCTGAGGTTCTCTGCTGCCCGGGGATACTTCCGTTTCCACCTGTCACCCCAGGCATCTCCTGCTCCCTCCACAGTGGGAGGTGCACACTCTCAGCCCCAACTTCTCTCCCCCTCTGTGCTCTGGGACCCTCCTCCTCCCATCCTCTCATTCTCTCGGGGGCAGGCTGCTTCTAAAGGGCTCCTGATGGCCCCACCTCTTGATAGCCATGTCCTTGCGTGTGGGGCCGGACCTCAGGACCCGCTTTGAACTCCCCCTAAAAGACCCGGGGTTCCACCACCAAGATTCGGGTACAAGTGATTGTGATTCTCATCTCACCGGCTGGATCTGGCAAGGGCCAGCTGCCCTGCTGGGCACTGTCCCCTGGGGAGCTCTGTGTGGAGAGGAACAGAGGGGGTCTCGGCTCAGAGTTAGTGAGGAACTGAATACTCGGCCTAACCATTCCAGAGCTTGGGATCGGACCCTCTTCCAATCAGAGCCCGGGGGTCCCTGCAGCCCCGCAGCACATGGCTGTCCCCAGTGAGGGGCCCAGAGCCAAGTCACCCTGAGGCAATAAATGGGGTAGTGTTCAAGCACAAAACCTGAAGTAATGGGTTATACAGCAATAGATGACTAATACACTCTCCCACCCACAGACTCCGTACACGACTTCCGTTCCTGATTCAGTGGCTTCTCAGACAATCACCAGCTACAGCCATCCCTAAAACAGCCGCTCCAGCCCCAAACCGCTGACACCCATGCTTCCCGGATGCTTCCCCACCCTGGGGTCTGTAGCCCAAACATCATTTCTCTCTTGTCCCTCCTGCTCACCAAAGCCCCCCCTTCCACTAGCACTCAGGGCCTAGTTACCAAGACCTGGGTCCCCGCCATCAGTCTGCAGCCACCATTCCAGGTGACTGCCCCACTCACCTAGGGCTCCAGCACCACCTGCCTGGCCTGAGCCACAGGGAGCCTTGACCTGCCCGGCTACAGGACCAGCCACCAATCGAGGGATGGCACCGCTGGGAGCAGCCAACACAGGGCAACGTGCCAGAACGGGATGCTTTTTTCTCAACAAAATTGGCAATTCCAGCCTTTTCAAAGAAGTAAATTGATTTTCTCCGACTGAAGATACTTCATCTTGAGAATTTAACATTTCTGTACAAAAGCATAGCTAGGGATATATATATACCCCAAGGGCGCAGGGTCCCAGGGACCAGCGGACCAGTCCTGAAGGCTGGCGAGCTGGGTGTGGGGAGGGCTCAGAACTGCTCAGCTCGACCCTGTTGGCCTCGCAGGAGGCCACAGCGTCCACATTTCCAAGGAGCTGGAAATCTGAATGCTTGTAAGTACATAGTCCTTCCCCCTTAAAAACGCTGGCAATGAGTTAAGAAACAGGTATTCACAAGCCACGCGTGGTCCCCAGGATGCCTGTGGGCTGCACAATCAACATGCAAACTGTTAACATTGAAGGCACCAGTTGTCTGCTCCAGGGGTCGGTGGAGGTTGTCAACTTGCATCATCTCCTGTAATGACCCGAATGCCGCTCTGAAGTGGGCACTCTGAGTATACCCATTTTTCGGATGAGACTATTAAGGCACAGGGAGGTTCTCGGGAATTTGCTAGCCTAGAGGAATGGCCCCATTGTCTCTGGCCCTAGGCCTGCTCCCTGCCTGCCCTGTCTGCTCCTCTTTTTCTCTCCTGGGCTCCCAGCCTCCCTCAGAAGTGCTTTGCTCTGCACAGGCAGGCAGCCACCCCGGGTGGGGAACACCGGGAGACCCAGTGCTGAGGGTCCTGGAAGAAGGGGGCTTCCTGAAGTGTCCTTTGGCTGGCCCTGCTCCAATGTGCTCCTGTCGAGCCCTCTACATCAGGAGGGGGCTTTGGGGCAGCAGCCAGAGAGTCCTGCCTGCTTCCTCATCTTAACCAGCCGATTGCAGGGGCGTTCAGAGTGGAAAGCCTTTGAGGTCAGCGCAACCCTCACTTCCTGCCTGGCACTGAGCTAGCCTCTGCCCCCAGACCCACTGTGCCCACCGAATCCTCTTGCTGATGTCTGCAGTGTAGATGCCCACATCTCTCCTGTACTGTACTGAGTTACGTAGGTAAGCACACTGGGGTTCAGTGCATACCTAGCCAAGCACCGTGCCAGGCTTGGAACCTAGGCTGCCTGATTTGAAATCAGAGGCATAACCCCGAGTTCAGCCCGGTTTCTGCATTCCCAGCCTCCCACCCCTGCTGGCATACTGGGTTCTGCATTGGGTTGTAACAGCAAAGTCAGCAGTTTGAACCCACCAGCCGCTCCAAGGGAGAAAGATGAGGCTTTCTGCTCCCGCTCCAAGGGAGAAAGATGAGGCTTTCTGCTCCCATGAAGAATCACACCTTGGAAACCCACAGGGGCAGTTCGACTGTGTCCTGTAGGGTTGCTTTGAGTCGGCATTAACTCAATGGTGGTGAGAGACCCCCGCTTCTGCGAGAGGTTAGGGCCAACCCTCTAGGCGGCCGCATCATTCCACAGGTGGAAGAGGTGAACTGCGGGTGT